TCGGGCCCCTTCGGCACCGAATTGAAACACCGAGTCGACTCGGCCGCGCCATGATGCTCAGAAACGCAACGCAGGCATCGGGCCGCATCGGATCGTCCGAACGCCGACATCGAATCGGGACGAGACGCATGAGAATCGCCCGCCCCTGATATTAAACCCTTGGAAATAAGGAAATTCGGGGCCCAGGGGGGGAATAAACGTTTCCCGGGCAGGATGATGATGGTGCTGCTGGTGCTGATGATGACGATCATGACGGCAACTATGATGATGGTGGTGATGATGATGGTGCTGATGATGATGATGATGATGATGATGATGATGGGGCTGCTGATGATGACGATGGTCCCCGCGTCTGAAGGGGTCAGTAGCTCCTAGCGCGAATTCCCCCTCGGACCGATGCGTTTCCCTATGGCCCTGCGGAGGCAACGCTCGGTCTCGTGCGCCTCAGCACACACACACACACACACGCAGATCGCTCGAGTGCCGTGAGCAATCAACCGCCTCAGACGAGGCAAGCGGGTGACCGATCCAAGCAATCGAAGCGACTCAGCACGCTCGGCAGCTGGCGGAGGACACGCTGGCGGTCTGGCAGGCTGGTATACAGCTGGGCTGTACGCCGCACATGAGAAACAACTAGGTCGACAGGACCAGGCCACTGCTGACCGACGTTGCTCCTCTGGCCTGCGGAGATCGAACCAGAGCGCGGGCGAACCTGCGCTCTCGGGTCGCCTTTCAAGTCGAAAGACGGGCAGGGCACTGACGCGGTAGAGCCGGAAGCTACATTGCGCAGGAGGCGTGCACACACGCCGGAAAAAGGGACCAAATGTGAGAGCATCGGGACCATCGCTCAGACCCAGCCCAACGCGCATCTCCCGTGCGCGTTGTGGTGTCGCGCAGGATGCGGCTCAGTCGGTGCCCTTGGGCCAGTGCACGTGGATGGCCAGCAAGCAGATGCAAGGGTGGGGAGGGAAACGTGGCAGCGGTCAAAGCGGCCTGGCAAACCCAGGCCACCTCCGTGACGCTGCCCCCCCCAATGGACAAGTGCACCACCTCCCGACTGGCGGAACCCCGCAGCCCGAGTTCCAGGGCTGGCTGCGAGACGCCAGCACCGCCAGAGGTCGGTAGCGGCAGTGCGACAGTATCACCCGTCTGGCGGAACCCCACGGCCCGAGTTCCAGGGCTGGCTGCGTAGCACCAGCACCGCCAAACAGGACGAAACCGAAAGGGAAGGAGGCAGGAGAAAAGGGCACGGAGCGTGCCGCATAGGACAAGCCAAGTGCAACACCGCAGGACCCATCAGCAGAGCAACGTGTCCCTTCGGACCCAGGCTGCACACTGGACTATTGCATTGTCAATGGGCGGAGCCTGATCCCGTGCGTGGGCGGACCTACGCACCTGGGTCAGCCTCCTCTGAAGCTTGCTGCACGGCAGCCGCAGCTTCTAAAAAGGGCAACACCGAGCACAGAGCCATGCTGCAAAAGTGTCGGAGACCGATCCCGTGTGAGGGCGAACCTACACACCTGGTTCAGCTTCCGTTGCTACAGCGGCAGCTGCACGCGCGCGCACCGAGCGTAGGCCATGCCCGCGGTGAGAGACCGCCGAAGGCAGCGACTGGCGACCTGACCGTCAGAAGCGCAAGTGTCCTCCAAGCAACCGGCCCCGCAAAGGACTTGTAGCATTGCCGACGGTATCGGGCCCGATCCCGTGCGTGAGCGGGCCTGCGCACATGGTTCAGGCCCGAAGTGGGCAAGAGAGGCTAGCCGTCTACTCGCCTGCGAAGGCGTCGCAAGGGCTCAGGGTCGCCGATGCCGCCCTGCCCTGCTGGCTGCAGCCCTCGCTTGAGGCGGCCGAGCACCGCCTTCTGCCGGTCGCTCTTGGGCGTCCTCGGACACGCCTTCGCCAAATCCGACATTCTGACACTCTGCGTCCAGTAGCCGCCCTTGACGCAGAAGAGGTGATTGCCTGCACGCCATAGCTCGTGGGAAACGTGTGGATCGAGCCCCCGCCACGGTGGAAGCGCGGGTGGGGGCGGTGGTAGCGGCTGCGCCACAGGTGCTGCAGCCAGTTGCTCGTGAGCTGCAGGTCTGAGGACAGCGAGAAGGAGAAGGGGGAGGAGGGGCATGGAAAGGAGGAGAGGAAGGAGGGTGAGGAGGAAAATGAGGGGGAGGAGGAGAAGGAGGAGGAGGAGAATAACGAAGCAGGAGGAGGAGGAGGAGGAGGAGGAGGAGGAGAAGGACGAGGAGGGAGGAGGAGGAGATGGAGGAGGAGGGGGTGGGGAGAACCGGGCCCCAAACGCCCCCCCAGTGACTGCATTGGAGGTGGTGGCCACCCGTTCGACCACGGTGCCTGTGGCCGTGGGTGAGGAGCATCCAGGCGGCCGGCGTGAAGTACCTCGCGGGCGGGAGGCATCGGGCGCTTGCCTTGGGAACATTCGGCGGCGCGTTTCGAAGCAGGGCCGCCCCCCCCCAACACTCGGAGCCGTCGATCAGAACCAGGGGGCTCGGCTACCCTCCCCCCTAACCCCTCCCCCTCCCGAACCCCCCCCCTTCCCCTCCCCCTCCCCGGCACCGGCGCTGGCGGCCTCCGCAGCGCCAACGCAGCGACGATGACCAGAGAGGGCCCAGGAGGGGGGGGTTCAAACCTCCCTCGCCCCCCACCCCCCGCCCCGGCGCCGGCGCCGGCGCCGGCGCTGGCGGCGGCCAGCAGCGCCGACGGCGGGGACGCAGCGACGATGACCAGAGGGGGCCCAGAGGCCGCAGAGGGAACACACAAATCGCCACATCGAGCCCTCGCATGCTCCTCAGACGCAGCAGAAACCCTTCTGACGACACCTCATGAGGCATCCATTGGAACTCCGACCCTTTTCCAAAACACAGTGGCGGGAAGAGCCGAAGGCCATACCACCACCCACCACCACAACCACCACAACCCACCATCACCACAACCACCACCATCACCACAAAAAAACCCTCCTCCTCCTCCTCCTCACCACCACCACCACCAAAGACGCGACCGCCACCAGCACCGCCACAACCCACCACAACCCACCACAACCACCACCATCACCACAACCCACCACACCATTGCCACCACCATCACCACCACCGCCACAACCACCACCATCACCACAACCCACCACCAACACCACCACCACAGACCAACACACACCACCACCACAACCACCACAACCACCACCACCAACAACAACCACCCACCACCCCACCACCCACCACCAGCACCAGCACCACTACCAGCAGCAGCACAACCACCACCACCAACACCAAAGCCCACCGCCACAACCACGACAACCCACCACGCCACCACCACCACCACCGCCACCACCACGACCACCACCATCACCACCTCAACTCACCATCACCACCACCACCACCACCAAACCACCACACAACCACCACCACCACCACCGCCACCACCACCACCACAACAGCTCACCACCACCACCACCACGACCACCAATACAACAACCCACCACCACTACCACCACCATCGCTACAATCTACCGCACCACCACCACCACCACCGCCACAACCACCACCACTACTACCAGCAGCACAACCCACCACCACCACCACCACCAACACCACAACCACCACAAACCACCTCACCACCACCACCACCACCGCCACTACCACCACCACCGCCAGCACCCCCGCCGCCGCGCGCCGACGCCGGCGCCGGAACGGGGAGAGGGAAAGAGGACAAGTAGGGGAGGGGGGGGTCTGGTTCCAACCCACCCACCCCCCCTTCAAGCAACCACAGAACGCGCTCTTTCTTACCTCGAGCTTTCTTTCTTCATGCGGCGTCTTCGATCAGGACCGTTTGATGAGGGTGTCGCGACGGCGGTCCCTGCAATGCGCTGTGCCCTGCATGCGGATAGCGTGTCGCTCCGCTCCGCGGGGCAGGAGGCTGGAAACAACTCCGGACGCTGACGCCCAGGGACTCAGATGAGGTTAGCGCGTCGCGCCGAAGCGTAGCAGGTTAGAACCTGCGGCGCGACGTATTCAGATTTCTTCCCTACAATCGCCGTGCCAGCATACCCGCACCCCTATCCCTCGCGTCGTGGAACATCCGCGACGAGAAAACATGGTGCTGTGTTAGGGCTCTGGACGCCCTCGCCTGGCCACCAGACCGTGAACAAACAGGCCACGATGAACAGCCAGTCCCAGGGAAAGGGTCCAGACCTCTGGGGTTCGACCATGACGTCGGGGGTCTGCAATACAAGAAGGAGCGCCGAATACGGAACTATGTGCCGTTTCTGGCCACGGCGCATGTCGGCCAGGAAGAAGTTCCCGGACCTGGATCAAAGTGGTATGCTTTTTCCACGTCTTGGGTGCTCTCATATCCAGGGAGCAGGTGGCACATCAGGCCGAGATACCAATGGCGTCCGCTCTGGCCACGGCCCCCTCCTTCGGGCGAAAATCGAAGGCGGCCGGCCAAACATGCCCCTCTTAGGTTGAGGTCGGGCCTGTCCCCCTACAGGGGGATTTTACACGAAAAATAAAAAAGGGCCCTCACAATTGCTAAAAAAACAAAGATGGTCCAAACATCGTCCCAAGACTATTTTTTGACTATTGTTCAACATTCCCCTTGTGGAGGGACAGGCACGACTTCATCGTAGGCGGCGGCATCCACGTGCTCAACGACTTCCGAACCCTGCCCCCGCCGCCCACCGAGTTGCCCGAACCGTTGGGGGTAGGGCTCGGCTCTCGCCGCCGACCTCTCGCTCCCCGATCACGCGCACGGCACCTGCGCGCGAGCGCACAGTGGCCCACCGAGCGCGGGAGGCCCGCAGACTCCCCACCGGCATCGCCCCCGAAGGGCCTCGCGGCCCGACTTTGAGCGGGGGCCGACCGTCCCGGCATTCCTAGTCCCACCACGAACTTAGCTGCCCCGATACGCAACACGTAACACGTACCGTATCGATACGGAACTCAACAGGTAGGCTGAAAACCTAGGTCCGACGCGATACGTTCGCCAAAACGTGGTCCAATACGTGGAGCCAACACGCAACGTATTGGCACGGACGTCTTCTACACGGGACGTGTCGCGTTTCAAAACGCGCGTATCGAGGCAACGAAGACCACGAACTGTTTTTAGAACCCAAGCATGTTCTAAGAACGAACACAATGTTCTTAGAACATAAACTCGATGCGAGAAAACAAGACAGTCCCAACCAGAAATGCTCTGAGAACATTGCGTGGGAGCCACAAGGTTCTCAGAACATTGTCTGGTAGGGCTATTGGCGCGCCAAGACGCTTCGCCACTGCTTGACGACTCCTCGGCCGCGACCCCGTGGACACACGGGGCGGCCGCTGTGCGGCCGCCCCGCCGCGCGGAACGCCTCCACGGGATCGCGCAGCCACGGCATCGCCCCTCGGGCGTCTGGACCGCATGGATCGACTGGGGTTCGACTACAGAATTGAGTTACCCCATAATTGATGTTCACGAAGACCTTTCAACACAAATGCGTCAACCACTCGTAGGTCTGCGAAAGTTCTGCGAATGGCCAGTGGACTCGACAAGAACAATGAACTCTGGGGCAAATCAATTCTGCAGTCGATCCCCTACTCGAATGGATCTGGATACGCTCGCCGCTCGTGTCGGGGACGCGCCGACCCGGGTCAGCGATGACTCTGGTCGACAAGAGGGCCCTCTGTCGCGAACCGTGGCAGGCCGCGAGGCAATCCCCAAACCTGTGCTGAGCAGGGGCCGACCGTCCCGGCATTCCTATAGGCCTACCACGGCGTGTTCTAAGAACCCCGGATAAGTTCTGAGAGCGACAAAGATGCTCTTATACCATCAACCAAGATGTATGAACACAAGACAGTCCCAGCCAGAGCTGGTCTGGTGGGCCTCGTCACTGCCTGGCTTTGTCAGCGGAGGGAAGGGGGGGAGGAGGCGTCGCCTCCCGTGGCCCCAGACCAGGACCAGACGGGGGGGCTCAGAGGTGAGTGGCTGACACCTGTCAGCGCGGACCCCGTAGTAGTTGCGGGCGCCCCGACCCCCCACCAGCCTTCTTATGGGCCGCACATCTGGCCTTGGGCGGCCGTTCGGGACGAGTCTGGCCGCTCTGGAATGCCCTCAACGAGGCGCAGCCAATGGAAACCAGCCTAGGCCCCCACAACCTCAGAGAACAGCAGAACCAGTTATTGTGCTGACCCTGAGTACCGGGGGTCTCCAGCGATGTTCCTCCGCCGCCACTCCTCGAGGGTTGTCGAAAGCGCTCTCAGCCTGAGATGTCCCCAGCTTTTCGCGCCATTTTAAAACCCCCGCCCTCTGGGCCTCGTGTGGGGTACTCTTGGGGCCTCGCTGGAAATCCTGCGGGCAGCTAAGGCCATGGACACTCTCCCAGACACCCGGCCATCACCCTGTTCCATTCACGGCCCCAGACATCCCTGGGCCCGAAAACTTGCCCCAGGTGCCGACATCAAAGAAAACACTGCGGCCGAGTGAAAACAAGCCCTCGCAGGTCTGGGCCCAGCAGCGCCAGCCAAGGAGGTCGCCACCAGCCGGAGGGGTCGCCACCTCCTCGAAAGAAACGGACCTTCCGGGACCTCGCAGACCCGAAGACTGTTGGAAACATCCCAGACCCCCTCGATCCCTGGACTTCGATTTCCAAGGGGAGCTGGCGACCTGCCCCCCTTCCTGGTGGTGGGCCCCCCACCGTTGGTCGGCCCTGTCCGACGGCAACCCGAGCTCCTGCTGCCAGCCAGGCGACCGGACCGCCAGCCCGAAGTCCAGGATCGCGAACTGCTCCCTGCCGGCGACGCCGGCGCCCTGCAGGAGGCGCGTGCCACGGTCTGCTGCACGCAAGAGTGGCCCTGGGCAAGAGCGACCCTTTGGTGCGCGACTGTCAGGGGCCGCGAGCAGGCCGAGCAGGAGCGCGCGAGCTGCTGCTGTCGCATCGCATCGCAGCCATCTGGGGACCCCACCGTGCCCCCGCGCCAACGGTCACTCTGGCGAGAGGTCGCTCTTACGTGTGGCCGACACGGGGAGGAGGGGAGGCACCAGGGTGAGACGAAGCCAGGACTCCTCCACCATAGCTCTTCCCCGTAAAGACGGGATTGGATCAAGTCACGCGCGCTCGATTTATAATATATATATATATATATAATGCACACACATTCATATATATATATATATATGCTAGAAACCACGCGCGCTTCGCGCGCGCCTAGGTTCTAGCGCAGGCCAGGGAAGCGTTACAGCACAGTCGGATCATCCGCCTCCCCATTTTCGGGGATGACGGGCGAGAGAGGGGAAGGGACAGGAATGATGAGTTTGGGTGAAGGCGTCAGCCGACCCTCGCTTGCCCGGGGTGACAAGGCGTGTGAGACGTGTGGGTGTCCCACTCCTCGTTGCTCCCTCCCCAGGGGTCCAACATCGGATTAGAGGAGGGGGGGGGGGGGCTCGGGGAGGGGGGTAGACGAGCTGCTCAACGCACCCCCTAGGTTTCCAGAGCCTCCAAAGAGCCTCAAAATGGCCCAAGAGAGCCCAAACAGAGCGCTACCACAGCCCAAGAGAGCATCGGATCGATCGTGAGATTGATAGTGGGAACAGCACTGAGATCGATCGTGAGACGATCGTGAGATCGATTGCAACTGATAGTGACATCAATGGTCAGATCGACAGTGAACTCGATCGTGAAATCGGCCGTGAGATCGATAGAGTTATTTCAACAGTGGAACCGATAGTGAGATCGATGTTGATCGGTTCGGATGTCGACAGAGAGGTCGTAAATGCGATCGGTAGTGTGACCGATTGAGCGAGATCGACAATGAGATCGATAGTTACATCGACTCTGTTTTGTGTTGTTCCTTCGCAGAGCCTGCAGGAGGCGAGCTGCCAGATGTGCCCCTAGTGGGAACTAGCGAAAAATCCAGAAGCACTTCCGTCGCACGCGGAGGGACGTCGTACTGATATGCGCCTGGAAGCGCCAAGGTAAACGTACCTGCCTCTCGTGATCGCAACGTGTAGTCCGTAGCCCTTCGCTACGGCACAAAAAAACAATGATGTGCATCGCGAATTTGCACACTGCGCCCGTCCCCTGAACCAAGGAAAACCGAATCGTGAGATCGATAAGGGGACCGATCGTGAGATCGATAATGAAACCGATTGTGATATCGATCGCCAAACCTTCAGTGAGACCGATAGTTGGGTCGATTGTGAGATGATCGATGGTGAGCTCAATAAGTGAGATACACAGTGATTTCAATTGTGGACCGAACGCCGTTTAGGGGCCGTGTGGAGGTCCCGCGGGTCATCTAGGGGTGGAAGGCTCGAACCGACAGTTCGCGTTCCCCCTCTTGGACATCCCTTGGGTCCCTTTTCGGGCTCTCTTGGGCCATCTTGGGGGCCTCCTGGGTCGTCATGTGACCCTCCTCTTGGGCCGTCTTGGCGCCGTCGTGGGCCGTCTCTGGGCTATCTTGGGGCCTCTTGGGCCGTCGCGGACGCTGGTCAGACTTAAAGAGCGGATATCTTAAATATGCTAGCTTGCCCGAATGATTGGGGACGGCATACCTTTCTTGGGAACCTCTGTGGGGTCCCCCCCATGCCATAGGTGGATGCAGAGTTCGAGGTGCGGCGCGCCCGCTCGCGTTGCCGCCTCCTCCTCCTCTTCCTCCCGCTTCGGTTCCTCCTTCCTCCTCCCTCCCTCTGCTCCATCTGCAAGGAGGCCAGAACTGTGCTGGAGGCTGTTCCTCTTCCTCCTCCTCCTCCTCTTCCTCCTCTTCCCCCTTCCAGCGGACCGCCATAACGTTGGCGAAACCCAGTGAAACAAAGAAAACAAGCAACTGAAGTGCTGGGGGCGGAAACCTCAGAACAACCATCGGAACAACCAAGACAACAAAAATAACCCAGGGAACGCCGTCCGAAGGGAGACGTCTGATGGACGGGGGGGTCATTCTCTATGGACACTTTGATTGTTTATATGTTCCCAATGGTTGTCAAATGTTCCAGCCTCCAGTGCTTCAGTTTCTTTTTGTTTTTTTCTGAGGGCATTCCCAAAGTTCTGGCATCCATTCCTCTAGGCTTCCACGGAGAATGCCCCTCCTCGGACGTCTCCAATCGGACGGCTTTCCCTGGGATCTTGTGTTGTGTTGTTTACTTTGTTATTGTTTTAATTGTGTCTCCAAGGTTTCAGCCTCTAGTGCTCCCAGTTTCTGTATTTTGGTGTGGTGGTCCTTGTGTGTTTGGTGGTCCCCCACCGCCAGCTTCAGGAATGTGTCTACTTCGCCCAGAAAAGCGGAAGCGGCGGTCCCCCCGTAGGAGGAAGCAGAAGCGGAGGATGAAGAGGAGGAGGACGAGAAAGGGAAGTGGATAAGAGGGAAGGAATGGAAGACTGAAACGGTTCAAACCAAACCGAAACCGAAAAACGCAAAAAAAGCAAGGTGCTGCATGCCCCCATCAACCCCTTCTTGGGACCCTCTTGGGGCGCCTTTTGGGCCCGTGAGGCGGTCTGAAGTGCTTCCCTTTGGGTCCCTCCTGAGCCGTCCTGAGGACCTCTTGGGGGCCTCTTGGGCTGCCGTGTGGCGATCTTTGGGGCCTCTTGGGCCGTCTTGGACTCTCGTAGTACCCCAAGGGCGAATCTGCTGAACAGGCACACTGTCCTGTAGAAAAAAACTCAAATTTGGGCCTTCTGGAGCCCTCTAGTGGAACAGATTGGACCTTCTTGGGGTGCATTGAATATCGGGCCTTCCTCGATGGTAACGACGACGACGACGACGACGACGACGACGACGACGACGACGTAGACGACAGAACGACGACGACGACGACGACGACGACGACGACGACGACGACGACGACGACGACGACGACGACTTTTTCGGCTGAGGGGGCTATGAGGTGATGAACGGACGGTGACTGTATCTATGACGCAGATCGTTGTCTCCTATAGTTTGCATCATCATTGAAAACCAGCCGCTAGGATATGTCCTTATAGCATCTATGGGCGTGCAGGCACGGTGCTCACTCGAGCGCTGAAGGCTGAGGGCGGAGGCGTGCCTCGCGACAGCGTGGTTATCCAAACATGAAATTCGCTGCTTCACTGTCGGCCCCCTCATCGGGATGAAACATGGTTTTTTATGCTGCTTGGCTGGCTGACGACGACGAAAGAAAGAAAGAAAGGACGAGGAAGTGCAGGGCATTTTTTAAGCTTGTGGCGTGTTGGGATCCTTTCGGGAGAACGTGCGTTTCCTAAGCTCCGCTTCGGCCTTCCCCGGGCCGTCGAAGAAGCGTCGCGGGACATCTTTATCTTTGAGAGAGCGTGATCCACCGCCGCTTTACTGTGGAAAATTGCCAACCTTTTCCTCCGGAACCCGGGGTCTCCCCCCCCCCCCCCCTCCGAAAATCCCCCCCCCCTGCCGGAACCCCTCCCCCCCCCCCCCCCCCCCCCCCCCCTCTCCCCCGCAAAACCCCCCCCCTCCCCTAACCCCCCCCCCCCCCCCCCCCCCTCCCGCTCGAAAACCGGGGGGGGTCACTACCGGGTCGAACCCCTCCCCCCCCCCCCCCCCCCCCCGGATCCGGAAAACCGGGGGGGGTCACTACCGGTTCGAACCCCCCCCCCCCCCCCCCCCCCCTACTCACCGCCAGCAAACGACTCCCGGTCCCCACCACCGTCCGCATCACATCCCCCACTGGTGTTCCCAGCACCACTGTCCTCACCACCGCTGTCCCCACTGGTTCCACCACCGCCCCTACTGTCCCCACCAGTGGCCCCACCACTGTCGCACTGTCCCCGCTGTCCCCAGAACTGTTCCCACCACGGTTCCACTCTCCCCACTGTCTCCACGGCCCCAACCACTGCCCGACTATCCCCACTGTCCCCACTGTCCCACTGACTCCTCCGCTGTCCCACTGAGCTGTCCCACTGTTCCCACCACTGTCCCCACTGTCCCCACCACTGTCCCCACTGTACCTCTGTCCCATTGTCCCACCGCCGTCCTCGCCACCGCCTTCACCACTGTCCCCACCACCATTGTACCCTCCACTGTCCCACTGTTTCCACCTCGTTCCCATTGTCCCCACACCACTGTCCCCACCACCACCGTCACCACCACTGTCCACTGTCCCCCCCTGTTCCCACCATTGTCCCCACCACTGTCCCCACCACTACCGTCCCCACCGCTGTCCCACTGTCCCACTGTCCCCACCACTGTCCCGCTATCCCCTCACCACTGTCCCCACCACTACCGTCCCCACCACTGTCCCACTGTCCCCCCACTGTCCCCACCACTGTCCCGCTGTCCCCTCACCACTGTCCCCACCAACACCGTCCCCACCACTGTCCGCACCCCCACTCGGTTTTCGAGGGGGGGGGGGGGTTCGAACCGGTAGTGACCCCCCCCCCTTTTCATGATGAGCAGGGGGGGGGGGGGGGGAGGGGTTCGAACCGGTAGTGCCCCCCCCGGTTTTCCGGAGGGGAGGGGGGGGGGGGGGGAGGGGTTCGAACCGGTAGTGACCCCCCCCGGTTTTCCGCCAGCAGCGGTAGAACACGCTCTTTCTTATCTTTGAACCGCACTGGGCCTCTCTTGGAGCTTCTGGGGGTGGACTCGGCCATCTTGAGCTCCCCTTGGTGCCCATTGGCGAGCCCAAGATCACGGCCCCGGGTACGCATGCGCCCCAGTGACCCCAGGGGCCCCCTCGTGGCTCCCAAAGTGGCCCGTGGGCGCACAAATGGCACACAAATTGGTATGACAATCTACCAGATCCGTCCATCACACCCCGAGAGCGCCGAAAATGCCTTGTGAACGGCCTCCGAGGGCTTCCAGCCTGCGCCAGGCCGGTTTCAGGAAGGCTTCAGTGGGCTCCCGAGGCCCCAGACGAGTGCCCCGAGAGGTAAAAATCTGTAAGCCCCCTGGGATTTACATTTTTGGGGGGGTCTGGAGACAAATGCGGTCGTCTGGCAGTGATTTTCCGGCGACTCGGGAGCAACTCGGTGCCCTGCTGGGCTGTCCTGGAAGTGTTTTGGGGCGGCTGTGGAGCCTTTTGCATGCTCTGGGCGCGCCTGGGGGAAGCTCCTGAAACCGTCTTGACGCGGGTGGTAGTGCTCCTGGGGCTGGAATGGAGCGTCGGCAAGCCGAAAAGGCGGAAGACGACTCCAAAAGCATCAAAAACCGACGGAAAATGACGGTTGGTGCTTCTTGTGACCCTCTTGGGGGCCGCCAGGGCTTGTTTGAATCGTCTGGGGCGCGGTTGGGCCGTCTGGGAGCCTTCGTGGAGCGCCTTGGGAGCGCGATGGGCCATCCGGAGGCGACCTCGGGAGTCTGGGAGTGATTTTCTGGCGCCCCAGAGGCGCCCCGAGAGCCTCGGGTCGCCTCGTGGGCACCGTCGAGCCCCCCATGCGCCGTCGGGCCCCTGGCCCCGAGCCCCCCGGCATCGTGGACAGGAGTGTGGCAGACGGCGGGAGCAGCGGCGGCGACGACAACGGCGCAGCAACTACGAGGACGACGACGACGACATCTGCGACGAGACGACGACGACGACGACGACGACGACGACGACGACGAGAGGACAGAGAAACCCCGAGGGAAGCAATGAGCCCCACGGCCACGACGGTTTCCTTCCACCCATCTCAGCGCACCCATCACACGGATTGTACGCCAGAAGGACGCGGTTTCACGTGCCCCGGTGTGGGAGGATTCGCATAACATCATCTCCCCCTAGGGGGATTGGGTTTCTCACGCGAATCGTGTCCCACTAGGCGCTCCACGGACAGTCCCAAAGCCAACGGTCGTATGCCGCCCTCCCGCCCATGGCGGTACACCCCTGACCTCGACCGTGAGTTCGGGGTGTCTTGGTTGCTTCCCGGCGCCCCGCAGCATGTTTCTGTGGGGCCTCTGGGAGCCCTGAGATGGATCTTGCAGGACGTAGACGCGAGGCCTTCCATAAGCTTACGGGGTGGGACGTCTCATGGGAGCCTTTTGGACTCCCTTGGGCCATCTTGGAGCTCTCCTGTGCTGCTTGAAGCTCTCTTGAAGCCGTCTTGGGGCCCTCTGAGGGGCCTCCTGGAAGAAAATCAAAGATGTTGGCCTCTTTGGGCCTTGCTGGAGGCCTTCTTGGAGGCCTCCTGCGCCGTCTTGGGACATCTTAGGGCCATCTTGGGCCGTCTTGTTGGGCTCAGGGCCCGCCTGACGCCGACTTGGAGCCCCCAACGCCCTTGGGGTGCTCCAGGGCCGTCTTGGAGGCCACGTTTGGACGTCGTGGAGGCCTCTTGGGCTGCTTGGAGCCCTTTTGGGGCCGTCTTGGGGGCAACTTGGGCCGTTCTGGAGCCATCCTGGATGCCTCTTGGGCGATCTTGGGGTGATCTGTGGGGGCTCTCGGGCCGTCTCGGGCTGTCGGAAGGCCGAACAGAAGCAAATGCCCAAATCCTTCATTTAATGACTCTTCGGGCCTTCCTGGAGGCCCTCTTGGAGGCCTCCTGGGCCGTCTTGGGCTATCTTAGAGCCATATTGGGCCTTCTTGGTGGACTCAGGGCCCGTCTGACGCCGACTTGGAGCTCCCTGTGGGTGCTCCAGGGCCGTGATGGAGGCCATCTTGGGCGTCTTCGAGGCCTCTTGGGGTACGTGGGGCCCTTTGGGGGCCATCTTTGGGGCCTCTTGGGCCGTTCTGGGGCCATCCTGGAGGCCTCTTGGGCGATCTTGGGGCGATCTTTGGGGGCTCTTGGGCCGCCTCGGGCCGTCGGAAGGCCGAACAGAAGCAAACGCCCAAATCCTTCAAACACCTGATGGAAATCAAGGATGTTGGCCTCTGCGGGCCTTCCTGGAGGCCCTCTTGGAGGCCCCCTGGGGCGTGGCAGCGTGGTAGCGACGTGTGAACGTGTGTGGCGGTGACGAGGTGGCAGTGGCACATCGACGCGCAAGATGTATTCATAGACGCGGCTGTGATGCCAACTCCGAAACGGCTGTGGTTGCTTCCGCCAACGTCAACAAAAATGGGCGACCACCAACTCCGCAACAAGTGGCATGACAACACGGAACGCTCGATCAGGAAATCTGCACATGCGCCTGGTAGCTAAGTTCCTCAAGATCACGCACGTTGGAAGCAGTGGCACCTCCTCCTCCTTCTTTTCCTCCTCCCTGTGCATTCCGCGGTGCCCGTTGTCAGAAGACCGTGGAATATATATATATATATATATATGTATATATATATATATACATACATACATACATATATATATATACATATGTATGTGCATATGTGTATCTATATGTAGATATGTGTGCGTGTTTTAGATGTGGTGTGGTTGCAGGGTTTCATGTGCAATACGTTCAATGCCCTCTGGCTCTACCGCTCGTTCGGTGTCCGAGGGGGCCTATCTTTATGGATGCCATGACCATGGGCACTCTAACAATCCTATCGTTGAATCAAAAGTGTGCTAAGCATGTGCAAAACATGTTCTCAAACTGTTTCATACATGTATTTACCTACTGAAAACATGCTTGAAGCACTGTTTAGACATCTGGACATCATTTGGCAACATCCTTCCTCTCCATTCATAGAGGCCTCCTAGATAGGGTCGGAGTAGACGGGGTCGGAGGATCGCGCCGCATCGCTGATACATCGACGATGCATCGGCGATGCATCGGAGATGCACCGGAGATGCACAGTCGATGGATCGTTGACGTCAGCGATGCATCGGCGACGTCGACGTGAAGCACATCGGGCTCCACATCGAGCCGCATCGGCGATGCATCGGCGATGAGGCGCAATCCTCCGACCCCATCTACTCCGACCCCATCCAGGAGGCCTAGAATTCACCGACTTCCACACGCCTACGAGGGCGAGGGCGAGGGCCAGGGGATGGGCGAGGGGTGACGCCTCGTGCACGAGGAAGTTGTGGCCCGACACGTCCCGGTGGAAGGCGATGGGCGCCAAGCGGGCGAACACGGGCACGGCCTGCCGCAGCAGGGCCTCCGCCGTGGCGCTGGCGGAGCGCAGGTCCCGGGTCGCCGCCCTCCCCAGGGGCAGCGGGCCGTCCTCGAGGCGGCACGGAAGGCCAGGGAGGAGGAGGAGGAGGAGGAGGAGGAGGAGGAGGAGGAGGAGGAGGAGGAGGAGGAGGGGGAGAAGGAGGAGGGGGAGGAGGAGGAGGAAGAGGAGGGCCGTCCTCGAGGCGGCACGGACTGGCCCTCGCTCGGACGTCCATTCCCTGTGCTTTGTTCGGTTTCGTGCGTGGTTTTTTTTTCCGCCAAATGATCAAGGATGCTCCTCGATGGTCCTCGCCGGAGGAAAAATTCACGTCCGAGCGATGCCAAGCGGAAGGCCTGGGCCCCCCCCCCCTTCTCGCCGGGACGAGCAGCCACGGCGGGAGGCCCATCGCCACTTTTTTGGGGCCTCCAGGGGGCCCCCTGCCGGGCCTCGGAACCGTCAGAGAGCGGCTCAGGATGAGACGCTGGTCCCCAGGAAGGGGTCCAGACCTCGGGGGGGCCGACGCTGCGAAAACAACAAGGAACACACGACGTCGGGGGTCTGGGGAGAACGGGCATGCCTTTTTCTGAAGGCTCGGGAGTTCCCCAGCCTTCTCAAAAGTCTTCTCCAAGCCTTCCCCAAAGACGCGGAACACTGGTAAGAAGGCACGGTAACTTCTGAGAAGCCCTGCCGCCTGCTCAGAAGACCTTCGCCTTCTGGGAAGGTGAAGGGCCAGGGGAGGAGGAGGAGGAGGAGGAGGAGGAGGAGGAGGAGAGGAGGAGGAGGAGGAGGAGGAGGAGGAGGAGGAGGAGGAGGAGGAGGAGGAGGAGGAGGAGGAGGGAGGAGGGAGGAGGGAGGAGGGAGGAGGGAGGAGGAGGACGAGGAGGAGGAGGAGGAGGACGCAAGCTTCCGCAGGTTCGCCGCGGCCGAAACCAGAACACCTAAAAAAACAACAACAACAACAACAACAACAACAACAACAACAAAAGTCCCCAAAAATCTCCCCCAAAAAAACACGCCCACACAAACAATCCGCACAGCGAGGCCCCCCGGCAGCGGGCCGAGGCCAGCAGAGTGCCACCCAAACGGGCGAGCCAGGAAGCCCACGCGGGCCACCCGCGGACTCCAGGACCCGCCCGGAGGGGAGAGAGGGTTCGCACCCCGTGCGAACCCCTTCTCCACCGCGCCCAGCCCCAAACCCGCGCGCGGGGAGGGCGCCATAGAAAACCGATGCGAACCCAGCAGGCACCAGGCCGCCCAGCGCGCACGCGCCTGCTGCTCACGCTCGAAGCCTCCCGTCCGCGAGGCTGACGAAGAGGCGCCTCGCGACCGCCTTGTCGCCCTCCGAGAGCGAGGAGATGGCGGCGCTCAACGCCGCCAGGAGGCCGCCCGCGTCCCCAGCGCCGACGCCCAGCCTCCCCAAGAGCGCTGACACCTCGGTCGCCTCGACGTCCGCGACCGCCACCGCCTCCGCCGACCGCCGCGCCGCAGCACGCCTGTCTGCTCCAGCAGCAGTACCAGCCTCTGCTAGACGAGGGGCGACCCGACGCGCGTCGTCGGCCCACTCGCCGCCGCCGCCACGTACAGCGCCAGCCCCCGCAAGCGGCACGCCGCCTGCTCCAGCAGGGCCTCTCGCAGCAGCGCGCGTCCCAGCACGACGCGGCCTGCGCCTCCTCGGCGCGGCCTCGTCAGCCCAGGCGTCGTCGAACTCGACGTCGTCGCCGCCGTCGTAGCCCATGTTGGGGCCGCCAGCGGCAGCAGGGGGCGCAGCAAGCGGCGGGCCACCCGCCACGTCTGCATCCGCCATCGCCGCAGCTTCTCCTCGCTCCAGTGCGCGCCGCCCCGCACGCCGCTGACGACGCCCGCGCCGCCGCTCGCGCAGCGCCTCCGAGGAAGCGCGAGGAACGGCGTCGACGGGCACCCCAGGGCGCAGCCCGTCGCCCGCGGCGGCAGGCTCCCGCGGAGTCGGCCGCGCCGCGTTGGCGGCGGCCGACACGGCGGAGCGTGCCACGGCAGCGACAGCGCGGCGCGGCGCGCCGCCGTCCACGGCTCCGCGGACCGCCGCAGCCACCAGGGCCGCCGAATCCACAAGCGCCGCGCGAGCCCCTCTAGACAGCGCCATCCCGCAGTCCCGCAACGAGAGGGGGGAAGGCGCGGCCGTGCGATCGCTTGAGTCAAATGGCTTGAGCCAAAATGGATTGAGCCAAAATGGCTACGGAGGAGGAGGAGAAGGAGGAGGAGAAGGGACCAAGACCTCGGGGGTCGACCTTGTCACAAGAAACACGACGTCGGGGGTCTGTGTACGTCGACCCCCATCCCAGGCTTCGTGGGGGGGGTCGACGGGACCAGAGATTCGGGGCCCAGCCCTGGGACATACGCTGGGGCGGCGCCCACTCTCGATAATTGGGGGGTGCGTCCGAATAGCTCCCTGTGGGCGGTGTATCCCAGGGTCTCCCTTTTTTCTGAATGGTTTCATTCCTTGTCGAAACATCGGGGGCTGGGGGAGAAACGTCGCCTGCAACACAACACTGGGCCATCTCCGGGACATCGAGCCCAAACTCGGACGAAGCCAGGACGAGGATACCATCGGGTGAAGATAAATCCAGGGTCTCTGAGATCCCGCCGCTCTGGAAAATATCTCAGGCGCCGCGGCCTTCTCACAGCGTCCCGGAACGATCTGAGACCGTTCTGGAACGCTCTGGAGCGAACTTATCCTCGTCCTAGCCCCGCCCGACAGACCCCCCTCGCGTCGTGACAGAACTTTCAGCCGGAGGTTTCTCGCTATGTTCGGTCCGCTTGGGGGCCCTTGCGGGGCCTCGGGGCCGCCAGCCAAAAGACGCGGAGGAGAAACCGCTCCCAGGGAACGGGTCGACACCTCCGTGGGTCGAGGCTACGACAACATCACGACGTCGCGGGTCTGCTGGGTACTGTGCATGCACGATTTTCCCTGAGAGCCGTGCGTTGCATTGTCCTAGCGTCTTCACCGGGGTTCGGGTCCCAGCACCACCACAGATCGAACGGGCTCGAAATAATGCATCAGCAAGATGGGGAAAAAGTGTTCCAATGGTGATGTTATTGCGATGTTGCATTTGATACGCGACGTCGCAATTCAGAGTGTACGTATTCACCTCCCCTGGCTAGGCCTATCCTAGGTCCAAGCGCGGTTCATACGCCCTCCTTGGCTTGAACAAGAAGACATGTACGAATATACGCCTTTCCAATGGACGCCTGAAATGGGTATGCGAATCACGGGTATGATACCCAACAGCAAGTGGCGTTCATAAGCGACAGCGGCCGCTGTTGGGCAGGCGGCCATGCGTCTAGAAGGAACACCGTTCGCGGCGACTCCGACAACGAGTCCTGTTCAGAATGATCCAGCAATGCTGTCGCTCTTCTCACTCATTCTTCCCGTGCCCATGTCGGTCCCACCGAGCTCCTGGACCCGGGATGCGCCTTGCCAGGGCCACTGGCTGTGCATAGATCTCTCGGGCCGCCGGCCGCCCTGGAGGGATGGGGACTGTCCTTGCAGTGGCATGGCGGTCGGGGGTTGCGAAACCCAGATATCCGACGATCCGAGTTCTAGAAGCCTCCTCCTAGGAGTTGAGCAGATGGGGTCGGAGGATCGCGCCGCATCGCCGATACATCGGCGAGGTATCGGCGATGTATCGGCGATGCACTGGCGCTGCAACGTCGACATCGGCGATGCATCGGCGACGCCGGCATGGAGAAAATCGGGCTCCGCACCGAGCCGCATCGCCGATGCATCGGCGATGCGGCGCGATCCTCCCACCCCATCTGCTCCGACCCCAGCTGGGAGGCCTCGAAGTTCCAAGTTGACGAACGAACAACCCGGGAGGTCGCAGGGAGGAGGACTGGCCATGGGTACGGATGCGGCTTGTCGAACCCGTGGGGGATCCCTGGTTCAAGCGGGGCCCCCCCCCCCGTTCGACAGCGCGCACCCAGAGTCCCGTGAGTCTCCCTTTGGGTTTGGGCGTGCGTGTTTGCAGGGGCCGCCATGATTCCCTATATCTTTCCATATGTTTTGGGTGTTCGTCTTCCCTCCCCCCATGGGCTCCTATATTTTCATATGTTTTACTGGGGGTCGACGATTGATCATGTCTGTGTTTTTTCCCTCCTGAATGATTCTCGTTCGACATCAATCCCAGTAGTTCTCCTCGGTTTGAGCCTCTGGAGCTCGCTGTCCGGCCCAAGGGCCATCATGCACGGATCTGGGGCGACAAACTGACCCCGGAAAAAGGAGTCGGGAGCTCGGGGGCCGTGCGTTGAACAGATCACATCGTTGGGTGTCTGGGGGGTCCTGCCCCTGACCCGCAGGTGTTCCCAGCTTTCGCACCATCAGTGGGCCCCTCAGTTATTTGCCAGTAAGTTGCGATATTCCTATTCTTCTTCTTCTATTGTCATGGGGTCTCCTCACAGGTCTGGATGAACAACTCCTACATGGCATAGCAATAGTTTTGTTCAGCGGAGGTGCGAAATAAGGTTTCGGTGGTGCGGGGGTTCGGCCGGCCGAAGCGCACCTCTTTTCCCACCTCTATCCATAATCGAAACAGCTGCCGATAGTCACATGACCACCGAGCGATGTCCAAAGGCGGCGGTGGCAGAAGAGAGGGCAACGGTAGAGTCCTTACTGTCAGTGCAGTTCTTTTTGCTCGGACCGCGCGGCGGTCAAACTGCGGGTGCAGTCCCAGGGCCCTAGGACTAGGGCCAAAACGGCGGCGGGCAGCGTGCACGCCACAAACATGAAAAGTATGTGCATCATGCTTACAAGGTGGCACGGGCGGCAGAGGGGCAGGGGAGTGCCCTCTTCACACTGAGTGAGAACAGTGCTGCCCCGATGCCGCCTCCCACAAGCGTGGAACGCTGCACGCAGTCATCGCCTATACCGGCCCACGGGCCGAAATGCCTCAAGCACAAGTGCGGCCTGAGGCTCAAAATATGAAATATGAATGTCCAGACTCACTAATCCAGACTGTAGTCTCGAAGTGCGTGTGCACGTCACCGTAGCCCTCACCAGGTCCATGCAGCGGCTGCAACAGGACCTCATGGGCTCG